GAATGAAAAGGAAAGGAAAGGGAAAAAGGAAGGGTGGAATATTTTAGATTATGGTGTTCATGCATTCTTATTTTTCTTCCTCCCTGTACTAGGGATTATACCCAGGAGCACTCTACCACTGAGCTACAGCCTCAGCCCATTTATCTACTCATCCATTCATTTGTATTTCGAGACAGTCTCTCTGTTTACCGCGGAGCTACCTCCCCAGCCCTCTGTGTGCCAACCTCTGTCAGTGTTACATGTGAAAACTGTGCAAAAGGATAAGGTTCCACTAACGTTGGGAGAACCATAGACTCCTTTCTTAGGACACACAAAGCCCTTCCTTACCCCAAGGGAGCGTGCGTTCTGGTGTCCGGCAGAGTTGTCACAGATGTGGACACTTAGGTGTGAGCATGAGCCATGCTACTTACAGACTCTGTGGCCCAGGGCAAGTGATTTCATTCCCTGACTTCCCAAAGCCGGATGAATTACATGAATGGACACATGTGAAGCATTCTGCTCAGCGGCTGCACCCAATAAGCATTAAACATCATTGCCTTTCACTCCGTCACCCAGCCATAGTGCATTACTTCCTGCTGTTTTCCAAGAGGATACTACTGTTTCATGTCATCATTGTATTTCTGAACTCTTGTTTGCTAGCACTGGAATATCCTTATTTGCTCACGGCTTTCTGATGCTCCAGGATCCATCTCAGCTGTTTTGCTCTTTTCTTGCCTTTCCCTTCTGGAGGAAGAATCGTTTCCTCCCTTGTACTGTTACTGCATCTTACTCTGCCTCTAGCGAGCGCTTAAATGCTGTGAGAACTATTTGTAGACCACTCTGCTCCTTTTCATAGAATGGGAGCTTCTCAGGGGCAGATATTGGACTCACTCATTTGCATTTCCAGTACCTCACACGGGGTTGATGGAGAACACAGTCAAGCAATGATATAATCTGAAGTTCTTTCTTTTTCTGTTTTAGTTTATTTGCTTGTTTTGTTTTGTTTTTTAGACAGGGTCTTTCTATGTAGTTTCAGGCTGGCCTTGAACTCACTAAGTAGCCCAGGCAACCCTCCTGCCTCAGTCTCCCCAGTGCTCAGATCACAGGCGTGTACCACATGCCCGGCTGGAGTCAGGCTTTCTGGCTTCATTGGGTACTGACTTTTTCACTTACTGGGCATATGGCTTAGAACAAGTTAACTTTAGAAATCTCAATTTCATTTTCTGTGCCATGGGTAATAGTAGTATCCACCAAAGACACGGGATTGTTGTGAGGGAAGATCATCTATACAGAAACACTTAAATGCTAATCGCTATCATTATTTTCACTATAGATATTGTATTTTTCATCTTTAGAAGTTCTATGTGGGGTTTTTATTATTTACTTATTTATTGTGTAGTGCTGGGTTTCGAACCAGGGCCTTGCACATGCTAGGCAAGCACTCTATGGCTGCCCTACCTCACAGCCCCCATTTAGATTTTTAAATATCTTCCACTTATCTCCTAATCATATTCTCCTAATCATGTGTTTTCCTTTACACATATGAGCATATTTATGATTTAAAATAACTGTTTTAAGGTCCCTGTAGTTAAATTCTATCATCTCTAATTTCTGGGTCTATGTTTCTTTTTTTTTTTTTTTTGGTACTGGGGATCGAACTTGGGACCTTGTGCTTGCGAGGCAGGCAATGGAACCACTGAGCTAAATCCCCGGCCCCTGGGTCTGTGTTTCCATTAATTGATTTTTATTCTGATTATTGATCATATTTCTCTGCTTTTAATTTCTCATAATTTTTAACTGGGGGCCGGACTTTGTGAATTTTACATTTACATTAATAAAATAATAGCAGGTACTTGTCTTTCTACCTGTGAAGAAATACCCACCAAAGGAGTTATCTTCATGCCTCAAATAACTAGAAATCAGACAGATCATCTGCAACAGCTGTTTTAAGACACTGGCCCACGGGCCACAGCGATTTTGTTGAGTGCTAGACTTTGTGTTGAATTCTTCTGAAGAACACTGAATTTTGTTCTGGTATACAGGTGCACCTCTACAATAGGGTTATGTCTCAATAAACCCATCATAAGTTGACAACATCATAAGTCAAAAATGCATTTAATACGCCTAGCAACACAATAAACCATGATTGAGACCCAGTGACTACAGGGCTGGAGGGAGCTGTGGCTGCTCACTGGGGCTGCCCCATGTCCTACCACACATCACTCCCTGGGGGAAAAGCAAAGCTCACAGTGAAGTGCTTTCTACTGAATGGCACCATAGTAAAGCTAAAAATCAGGAGGTCAACCGTCACAAATCAGGAAACAGATATGTTGTTAAGTTACTTGTGGGTCAGTTTAATCTTTTTCCTTTTAAACTGTGAGACTCTATCTCATGCCTGGTGTATTTTAAGGTCCTCTACTCTGGCTGGGAGAAGGGTGAATGATCCCTAACCCCGCCTACTCTCCAGGAATTGTCTGACTGACTATTTTCTGGCGGTTGTTTCTCAACACACACAGGTGCAGGGTTTGCAGCCAATAATCACATAACCGCCTGCAGCTTGGGGCTCGCTGAGCAAGCCCTCCTCTCTGGTAATCCAGCCTACACAATCTAGCTCCTCAGCCCCAACAGCCCAGTTTCTGTCTCCTAGGCTAAAGCAAAAACCAAAAGCTACCAAGCTTCTTGTCAATCTGCCTTTCTGGACAGTTGCTTGAAAACTGTCTCTGTTTCTACAGTCACCACGGCCTGTGGGCCAGTGTCTTAAAACAGCTGCTGCAGATGATCTGTCTGATTTCTAGTTATTTAAGGCACGAAGATAACTCCTTTGGTAGGTATGAAGTACCTGCTATTATTTTATTAATTTAAAAAAATGTGTGTAATAGTACAGAGCCAAAAATTAAATTCTAATTGAAAATAAATTGTGGACAAAAAGCTCTTTTGAGCTGACATTTCTAAACAGTGAAAATTTACTTCAAAGGAATTTCACTCATTGCCAGACTTGGAAAATTCAGATTGATCTTTCAATACTAAAAGACATACCACAGTAAGAAGTTGAATATTAAAGGCTTTTTACATTTGAATAGATCTTCTGCTTCCAAGAGTCCAAAGTTGCCTAGATAGCAAGAGGTTTCCTATAGTGTTCAGGAGATCATCTGAAATTCAGACGTAGGAAAATTAGCATCATTCAGTATTCAGTCACGCAGAAATAACACTGCATCCCTATGCTCACTAAAAATTGGAATAAACTGTTTTTTGCCAGAAGGGATTGGGTCCTCAGTTTTCTACAGGTGGCTTCATTTTTAGATATGTTTTGCTGGAACTCTGTTCTTTTGCTACCTCCCAGAGGAGTTAGTTTCCTCTTGATACTGCTAAAATATGTACATGATGTTCTAAGGAAATTATCTGCAGAAGAACAATAAGTAGCAGGAGTAGGTACTTGTCATTCTAATTGGAGGAGAAAATGGGCTTAATAAATCTTTTCCTTTCAAATCTTGTCTCCAAGAGGGTTTGCTCATGTTGGATTAAAACTGGGAACTGACACATTCTGTGACTGAAAGGTATTCCAAAGTTTCCTGGAAAAAACGCAGAATACATTAGAACTATTTAACCAAAGGTTTCAGTGTCACCCAGGCACAAATGTTGCTTTTGGTCTTTAAGAAACCAGAGGTTGTACAATTAAAAATAATGATAAATACCCAGGATAAAATCTAGGTCCTGATTATGGCCCAGGACAATCAGGAGAACTTGGAACTGCTTCTCCTCAACAGCTGGATGGATCACAGGCAGCAGCTGTGAGCAAAATAAAGAAACCCACATCTGCTGAGAGTCAAAATGCTGTATGAATCCCTTGTGACAGGGAATAAATTCATGAAGAGGCCCCACTTCTAGATGAGGAAAAGAATTAAGGCTATCTGAAACCTGTTTTCCATCGTTATCCCTGTTTTATGTATGTCACAAAACCCAGCTCTAGCTGTATATATCAATGTAATTGGTGTAAGAAACTAAGAAAGGACTGGGAAAGACAAAATCTGATGAAACAGTACAAACTTCACCTGCACACTCACTGTGCATGAGTGTTTACATAGAGACCAATGGGATTGTTTCTCTGAGCTAGTTCATGTCAAAAAATCAGCAAATAGAGTTGGGCATGGTGGTGCACGCCTGTAATCCCAGCACTTTAGAGGGTGAGCCAGGATTGCCACAAGTTCGAGGCCAGTCTGGGCTACATAGTGAGTTCAAGGCCAGCCTGAGCTACATAGTGAGCCCCTGTCTCAACTTCCCCTCTGCCCCCCAAAGCAGCCACTGAAGTAGAAGCAGCACAGTAGTAAATCAGGGTTCTATTTGTAGCTTTGCAACTAACCACTGTGACTCTTATTATGCATTTGTTAGGATAGCTGAAGTGATCTAAAAAAATACTGGACAGGAGTTTTGAAAAAAGTCTCAGTGGCTACATATAAAGTAGGATAGCACTGGCTAGAGTAGAGTGGGGCCTTGCAAATGCAAAGAAAGCAGGTAGAGTGCAGGATCTGTCCACTTAACCAACCTTGAACCAGGCACATGCCAAACCTCCCAGAAGCACTTGTTAAATGAAGAGGAAATGGTTTAGACCTTGTACTTCCCTCACTTAGGATCGCTACAGAGACTGTCTTAAAGGTATATTCAATACTTATTTGGTAAAACACATAGTATGAAGATGAGAATAAGAACCGACCCTCAAGGATAGATGTAAAATAAGATTTTAATAAAAAACTGAAGCCATTTACTCTATTTTAATATTCTCGATGTAAGAACCTACTGCAAAGGAGGCTCCCAGCGGGGAGACCTTGCATGTGTCTCATCAACAGGAAGTCTCAATGTGCATCTTCCTTAATACTCTATGGAATAAAATCATAAAATGCCAAGGCAACAGTACTCAAATAGAAAATGTCTTGCTTTTTCTAGTGCACATTATTCTTCTTTCAAGAATTTTAAGGCACTTTGAAAAGCTTTAACAAAATTTATTGTTCTTAAATCTGTATTTCTAGAACCTGATCTGTATTTCCTGCTGCTCAATAAGCTTTTAAGGTAAGTCAAAAAGGAATACCAACTTTTCTTTTTCTTTCTTTCTTTTTTTTGGGCAGGGGGCGTCTTGAGACTCACTTTTTAAAATTTAAAAAAGTTTTTTTTTTTGTGGTACTTGGGGATTGAACTCAGGACCTTGTTTGTGCTTGCAAGGCAGGTATGGTGCCACTGAGCTAAATCCCAGGCCCAGGGTCTCACTTTATAATGCAGGCTGGGCTTGAACTTATTATGTGTCTAGGCTGGCCTCAAACTTCTGACGATCTTCCTGCCTCAGCCTTATGAGTGCTGAGATTACAGGTATGTGCCACCACGCTCAACTACCAGCTTTTCAAAATCAACATACAGCATTGTTCACAAGAGCCAAAAGATAGACGCAACTGAGTGCCCATCCATAGAAATCGAGTAAGAAAATGTGCTCTCCACTCTCAATGAAACAGTATTCAGCCTTAAAGAGTAAAGAAATTCTGACACAGTTCTAACATGGGTGAACTGTGAAGGCCCTAGGCAAAGTGAAATAAGCAATTCACAAAAAGACATATTGTATGATCCATTCATAGGAGGTACCTAGAGCAGCCAGATTCATGGAGAAGGACGCAGAATGATGGTTACCAGGAGCTGGAGGTGAGTGGGCAGAGGGGGTTCATGTTCATGGGTACAGAGGTTCAGCTGTGAGAAAGTTCTGGAGACGGATGGTGGTGGACAGTGGTGATGGCTGCAGAATAATATGAATGTACGGAAGTCACAAAACCGTCCATTTAAAATGGTTCAAATGATAAAATGTATGCTTATACTTTACCACAAGTTTAAAAAACAATAACATATTTTCCCCAAAGAATCTCTTGGCCCTCCAATATTCCTACCCGGCTGCCCAAGCCAGAGCCCTGGAAATTCTCCCTGGGCCATTAACTCACGTTCCCTCCCACATCCAATCCCTGTCCCACAGTGTCTCCCCTTGAATCTCCATGGATACTGCCCAGGCTTGGGGTCACATCTCCACCTTCACATCTACAAACTCCTAACTCTGCTCCTTGCCTCTGGCCTAAGCCGGGCTCCATACTGCTGAAAGTGACCATTAGGACCTGGGCAGCATCCAAGCCGCTCTTCTACCTGGAAGCCTTAAAGTTGCAGCTACAGAATAAAACCCAACTTCTGCTCTAGACAAAGAAGGGGGTCTCTCAGAACACGCCTCTTATGCCTTTACAGGCTCACCTTTCCTAACTCCTTCACAATTCTAGTCATTCTGAGCTCAGTTCCCTAAATATTTCATGTTCTTTATGCTTCCCTGCATGCTGTTCTGAGAATGCCCATCTCTCCTTTGCCATCGGGATAATTCCTACTCTTTCCTCCCAGCTTAGAACAAACAGCCAGGTCGCAGAACCTTCTCTGTCTACTTCTCCCTCCTTTCTCCAACAACAGGATCCTAGCTCACGTTCATTCAGGAATTTCCTTCTCTGTCCGGCTCTGTCAGAGATGCTGCACGTTTGGTTCCACAGCATCTTCAATAAAGTGAATCTCACTTCTTCCAATAAAACAAGTAACAAATTTTTGTTTCCCAGTGCACATAAATTATGTGTATACTGTAATGTAGTCTATTAAGTGTGTACTATGTCTACAAATATTTTATCACCAAAAATGCTAATGATCATCTAAGCCTTCAGGGAGTCTCATATACTATATATATTGGAGGTACTGGGGATGGAAGCCAGGGGCTTTGCACTGAGCTACATCCCCAGCCCTTTTTATTTTTGAGACTGGGTCTTGCTAAGTCACTAAATCCCAGATGCCCAGGCTGGGCTCAAACTTTGGATCCTCCTGCCTCACCTTCCCGGAGATGCTGGGATCACAGGTGTGCACCATCACGCCTGGTTCATGTGGCAAAGCTCTTTGATAGCATTTTACTCACAGTAAAGCCTTCAAAATTGGAGTCAATTCTCTCAAATCTTGCCGTTGCATTATTAACTAAGTTTATGTAATATTTGAAATCCTCTGTTATTTCAACGATGATGATGTTCATATCATCTCTAACAGAGCAGATCCATGTCAAGAAACTTTTTCTTTGCTCACCCATAAGAAGAAGCTCCTTGTCTGCTAAAGCTGTGTCACGAGACCTCGTCCATTCAGTCACCATCTCCAGGCTGAACTTCTAACACTGGCTCTATTGCTTGTCCACCACTCAGCAGTTCTCTCCTCCACTCAAGTTGTGAATCCCTCAGTCATCCGGAGGAACAGGACCAACTTCTTCCAAACTCCTGTTAATGCCAATATTTTCATTTTCTTCCATGAATCATGAGTGCTCTTAATGGCATCTGGCATGGTGAATCCTTTCCAGAAGGTTTTCGATTTCCTTTTCCCAGATCCATCAGAGGAATGAGTCACTGTGTATGGCAGTTATGGCCTCATGAAATGTATTTCTTAAGTAATGAGACTTGATTGAAAGTTGAGATTCCTCCTTGTGCCATGTGCTGCAGTCGGACGTTGTGTCAGTAGGTGTTACATCTCCACCAGAGTCAGGTGACACAGTATCTGAAAGGAGTCTCCCCTGAGTGGCCGGCCTCAGCAGCGGCTCACCCTTTGCACTAGTCCTGCTGGAGACAGACAGAGGCGCTGTCCCAGGCTTGCTTGCTGCACTTGGACAGCACAGACAGAGTAGACTTAGCACAGCTCCTGAGGGCCCAGGGCTGGCAGCAACTCAGTGTCCTCCTCCGCATCAGCCTCGGGCAAGAGGCGGGCTGTCCTCCCAAGTGTGGAAGCCCGGAGATGGCTTCTTCCCTTCAACCTCATGAGTCAACCTGTGCCAGTTTCAGACTTTTCTTCTGCAGCTTCTTTCAGCCTTTAAAACTGAAGAGAGCTGGGGCCTTGCTCTGCACTAGGCCTGGCTTAAGGGAATATTGTGGCTGGCGGGATCTATCTACCCGCCAACTTTCTCCATATTAGCAACAGGCTGTTTCATGTTCTCACTGGAGCAGCACCTGCAATTTCCTTCAAGAACTTTCCCTTTGCATTCACCTTTGCTTTTACCTTTGCATTCTCTTTGCTGCTTAGAGTGAGAGGCCTCACTTTCGGCTGACCTCAGTCTTTGACATGCCTTCCTCACTCAGCGCACTCATTTCTAGGTTTTGATTTCAGGTGACAGGCAGGTAGCTCTTTCTTTCACTTGAACACCTAGAGGACACTGCGGGGTTACTAAGCGGCCTAATTTCAATATTGCTCTGTGTCAGGGAACAGGGAGCCCAAGGAGAGGCAGAGAGATGGGAAATGGCCAGTTTACAGAGCAATCACAGCACACAAATTTATCCACTCAGCTCACTGTCTTCTACAGGCAGGGTACATGGCACCCCAAGACAACGACAGTAGTAACATCAATGATCACTGTAGAAAACATAAGGAAAAAGTCTGAAGTATCTGCAGTCCACAAAAGGTGACCCAGATATATGAAGTGAATGAATGCTGTTGGAAAAAATGATGTCAATATACTTGCATGGTGTGAAGTTGCCACAAACCTTGAATTTGTAAATACCACAAGTATACAAAGAGAATGCAATAGAGTGAGGTCTATTCATGTTACTCCTGATATTTACTGCACAGTATTTAAGTATTTGTTCAGAGAAAGGGCTCTGGAGCCAAGGTTCTAATCCAGGCCAGCATTTCCTACGGAACCTTTCAAGTTACTTACTTAGCCCCTCTGAGCCCGGGTTTCATTAGTTATGAAGTGGGGATTATAGTATCGACCATGGAGAACAGTTGTGAGAATGAGATGAAGTATTATACCTAAAGTGCTCAGAGCTGCCCTGGTTCCTAATAGGTATCATTAGCGATGGTAGTGGTGGTGGTAATAGTACAGTATTTCTTTTTGGTACCGGGGATCGAACTCGGGTCCTTGCGCTTGTGAGGCAGGTGGTGGAACCACTGAGCTAAATCCCCAGCCCTTAGTACAGTATTTCTGACACAAGACAGATACTTCCTGCAAAGTAAGTATTCCTAAAGCTTTGAGAGTATGCATTCAAACAGTATTTATAGAAACATAAGAAAATCAGAGAAGGAAGGAAGGAAGGGAAGAAGGCAAGAAGGAAAGCAGGGAGGAGGGGAAAAATAAGAAAAAAAGGAATTGGGGATAACTTACCGCCATTTTTGCCCACGGTTCGGAAGCATCTCCAGAAGGCCCGTAAAAATGAGGCCCTGTTGTGGGGGGTGGCTTGGATGAAGCTGAATTCCCGAAAGAGAATGTGAGTTCCCTGGCATACACTGTTAAAACTGCAAAGAGAAAAATTAAGAAACTATCATTAGTTGGAATTTAGGAGACTGGAATCAATAAAACTTCAAGACCGATAGAACTGCCAAAAAGGAGAGGGTCTTTTTCTCCCCAACAAAACTTTGAATTAAAGATGAGACCAAGTCCTTCTGCAGGGAAGTCTCTTCATATAACCACATCCCTCTGAAAACTCATGGAGTCCAGCTCCTCTGAGGGCTTTCAACCTAACACGTAATCCTAAAGAAGCCCCTCTGTCACCAGAGCAGCTCTTTCAGTCTTTACCCAGATGACGCTGGCACACCTATTGTTTTTGCAGAACACTTCTCCCTATAGCGTTCCCCAGAGAGATTCTTTCTCTACTGTCCCCGACCCTGCACTGGCTGCCATAAGCAGGTCACAGCTTATGGGGCTACAACTGGGCTGTCTATGCAGCATGGGTGTGGTTCTGTACACCTCCCCGACATAACCCAGAGACAAATCCTGAGTTCCAAAGGATAAGAGGGCCACCAGGGGCAGACAGGAGCAAGGGTAGAGGGTCGCCCCTGGGTGAGAGTATGAAGCCAAACCTTGGGGCCTAAGAGAGTCATTGTTTAAACTGGGCCAGGGAAGGGAAAAAACACACTCCACTGCCTTTGGGTTTTCCTGCCAAAGAAATAAAGGCCTAGGAGCCTGATGTAGTCTAAAAATGGAAATTCCACAGAATAGGCAATTATCCAGTAATCATCCCTACCATGGCAGACTTCAGGTTCCAGAAAACTCCTGACTTCCCTGACAAGTAAATCATGAGTGGAAAACATGTTAACGGTTATGGAGCAAACCCTACACTGAAGATGGCAAGCCCTGGAGGGAAGCTGGTAATTCCAAATGGCAGTTTTCATTTGTTGATCATTTAAAGGTGGTGTTCAGAATCTCTGAGCTGATAAGGAACAAATTTTAGAATCCATCTCCATTCCAGTTCCCCTCTCCCAGACCAACTTCCAGGGAAAGTGTCCATGGTCTTTAGTAGACAGCATGTTATCACTCAGGACAAAACCAGCCTCTTCTTTAGGATAAAATCAGCCTCTTTAATATTAACAGTACTGTAACGAAAATAGGAATGATGTACTCTTCCTTCCTCATAGAAAATTAGGGTAGACATCTACCTTTAAGGAACCATGAAGAAGTAAGAGAACAATGTCTAGCAAAAGACTGTGACAGAGCCGGGGATTTAGCTCAGTGGTTCTGGCCCCTGCCTTGCAAGCATAAGGTTCCAAGTTCAATCCCTGGAACTTTCCCCAAAGCCACAAAAGCATCACCCTCCCCATGCGGTTCACGGCAGTGGCCTTGCTGTTTTACGCAAGGCAAACGGAAACCACAGCAAATGAGCCGTTCCAGGTAAATGGGGCGGCCACAGTGCAGCAAATGACGGCTGACATGGTAACGCCGTGGCCTGAATTTATGAAGTTGTCCCACAGTGTGGTGCATTCCCTAGGTGGAGAAGGCCGGTGGTCTAAGCTGTAAAGCAACTCATAACAGCGAAATCATACTCTTCGCATAGATTTAAAGACCATCTCAGTGCCACATTTTGCGTAGTTTTCCTACCTGATTCTCTCCCCCATTCCCAACTCCTATCAGTTCTCACTCGTACTCTGAGGTACAATCTGCTTTCTTGTTTTAAAGCTCCTGGGCCTCTTTCCCTTACCAGCCTGCAAGTTCTACGGAGTAGGTCACGTTCATCTTTGTCTCTGCCAGACTTACCCAACACACAGACATTTTGAAAGTATTTGTGGTATTTTATGTAGAAAGATAAGGGCCAGGGATTTAGCTCAGTGGTGCCGTCGCCTGGCTCGAAAGTGCAAGGTCCCAAGTTTGATCCCTGGTACCGGGGCGGGGAAGATAAGAAAAAATAGGTAATACGAGGTAGCTGTTCACGATGGAAATACTGAAAGTCTGTTTTATGACTTTTTTAAAAAGAGGTTTTTAGTCTGATATTTGTATTATTCACAATATTGGATTTGTTTTGATTAGTATTTTCCTGGTGTATCTATTTTTATGCTTTTAATTTTAACTTTTCAGATCACTTTGTTTCTCTCCTTAACCTTACAGTCTCTGTGGAGTAATAAGTGACTTTTTATTGTATTTAATTGACTTCTGACATATTTTATCCTTCTAGTGAACTGTTCTTTACCTTTCTCCCACTTTTCCCGCTTTCTTTTGTACTAGTAAAGTTTAAAAGAATTCTTTTGTACCTCTGTTAGCACAGAAGCTAGAGACAAAAATCTGTAATCTTTTAATATTTCTTTTAGAAATTTAACATATTTATTTATATATTTTTATTTTTGGTACTGGGAATTGAACCTGGGGTCTCTGCACTAAGCTATATGCCTAGTTCTTGTTATCTTTTATTTTATTTTATTTTATTTTTTGGTACTGGGGATCGAACTCGGGACCTTGCACTTTCAAGGCAGGCACCAGAACTGCTGAGCTAAATCCCCGGCCCTCCTTTTATTTTTTGAGACAGGGTCTTGCTAAGTTGCTCAGGCTGGGCTCAAACTTGTGATCCTCCTGCCTCAGCCTCCCAGAGTGCTGGGATTACAGGTGTATGTCACCTCATCTGGCTCATCTATCTATTTTTCTAAAATGTCTAAAATTACTCATTATTATTCCCTAAATTAAGGACCAAAATTCACTTCAGGTAACTTACACACATTGTTCACATTATTTTTTAAAAAATTAACCTCTAGAAAACTAGAAACTAGAAAACTTTTTTTTTTGGTACCAGGGATGGAACTCAGGTCCTTGCACTTGCACAGCAGGCAGTGAAACCACTGAGCTAAATCCCTGGCTCTAGAAAACTTTTTTAAACTAGAAAACCTTTTTTTAAAATTTATCCCTTCATCTGTTGATGGACATTTGGATTACTCTTGCCTTTTGACTACTGTGAGGAATGCTGCTACCTTCAGTGCAAAAGTATCTCTTCCAGACTGGGCTTTCAATTCTTTGGGATCTATACCTAGGAGGGACATAGGTGGCTCTATGTTTAACCTTTTCAGAAACCACTAAACTGTCTTCCAGAGTGGCTGTACTATTTCACTTCTCACCAGGAACACATAGGGGTTCTAGTTTCTCCAAATCCTCACCAACATGTGCTATTTTTCCTTCCTTCCTTCCCTGCCAATCTAGTAGGTGTGACGTGGTATCTCATCTTGTTGTTTTGATTTGCATTTCCTCAATGACTAATGACACTGAATGAGCATCTTTTCATGTGTTTATTGTCCATTTATAAATTTGGGAAAATGTTTTATTCAAGTCCTTCATCCTTTTTTTTCTCCTCTTCTCCCTTCCTTCTGTCCTCCCCTTCTCCTTCTCCTTCTTTTTTTTTAATAGTACTGAGGGTAAAACCCAGGGCTTATGCATGGTAGGCAAACTCTCTACAACCAAGCTATGTCCCCAGCCCTGGCCATTTTTAAACTGGGCTGTTTGTTTTGTTGTTATTGTGTTGTGGCAGTTCTTTACATAGTCTAATTATCAATTCCTTATCAGATAGATGATTTGCATATCATTTTTTCCTATTTTGTGAGTTGTCTTTTCACTTTTTGATAGTATTCTTTGATGCACGAAAGTTCTTTTTTTAATTCTGGGGACTGAACTCTGGGCCTCACACATGCACAATAGGTGAGTGCTCTATCTCTGAGTCACATCCCCAGCACCTCACCCCTGCCTTTAAAAAATATATATATATTTTGAGACAGAATCTCACTGAGTTGCCCAGGCAGGCCTGGAACTTGTGATCCTCCTGTCTCAGCCTCTTGAGTAGCTGGGATTATAAGCATATGGCATCACGCCCAGCAATTTTTTGACAAAAAAAATTCAACACAAGGATGGTTTTACTATTCATCAAGAAATGCAACTCAATATTATATCTAGTTTATTTTGCAATCGCTAGCTCTCTGACTCACAATGTGTGCTCAAATTTCACCATAATGGGTTATGACCAAAGGTCACTGAAATCCTGAACAGGCTGGACCACTACTTCCTCACGGACCCCTGGGTTTTTTGTAAGCTGTTTCCCAGGTAGGAGTCATAATTTTGTTTGAGTCTCCCTCCACGAGCTGGGGTAGAAGAGGTTGGTGCCAGTCCCCTGCCTGCTGTGACCATTCTGGTCTCCCATCCCTGAGAAGTGGCCCTCGGTTACCTCTGCCTGCTGCTCCCGACCCGGGCACTGACAACTACAGTTTCTGTCCCATTCACTATCCTGTGGCTGTGTTTAGTTCCTAGTCTACAGAGGAATTTAGACTGGTTTTACACAAATATTCCTTAAATTTTCTCTTAGAAAATTTTATGTATTGTTACCATGTGTTTGGAACAAATTAGAGGCTCAAGTCATAAACATTGCAAGGCATCATCACAGGAATCTAAAACAAACTTTCTACCTACAAACTGCAAATGCATGTTCGTGCTAATTTTTTGTTGTATTTAGCTAAACTAAAAAGCTTGTTAGTAGAATCAATCCTTTCTCTAAAATAAAACAAAAAAAGTTCCTAAAGATATTTAAAAGGCCGTACAGAAGCGTACCACATGCCAGTCTTGGACAGCTCTCTCTGGAACCAGTATTCAAATGTCACTGACCAAAGTCTTTCATTCTTTGAGTTGCTGAGGTTTTATTTTGAAGATTTTAATCTTTCAAAAGTTTGGCATGATTTCAAATTTACCAAAAAGTTATAATAACAAAGAATTCTCAAATCCTCTTCACCTAGATTACATTTACTCCCACTTACGCACAAATCCCCTCCCTTCCTCTGCCCTCCCTAGACACAGACGCACAAAAAATAAGCACATATGATTGTTTTTTAGGCTTCCTTGAGTAAGTTATAGACATGATGAGCATCTATCTTTCATGTCGTATAGTTCCCAAAACTAAGGAAATTTGCTTATATAATGACAATACAATAAACAGACCAGTAAATTGAAATGGATACAATACTATAATCTACAGACCCTACCACGAGTTCATCAATTGTCC